AGTAGTTAAGAACAACATTCATCCCCTTTTATGTGAAGTTTGGTTGGAGACCTCAGGGAATGACCAAGGCACCACAATGATACACAGACTAAATAACTGTTATTTGGCTGTGGGATATTGTAATTCCTGACAGACCATTGCTGATTGTGCCACACTCTGGTGTGAACACAAGCCATGGGGAGCCAGTTATCCTGCATGGACTGGATCCCTCTGGCTAAAAGGAGTTCACTGCTGAGCACACAGGTAGTAGCAATGTAAATAATTAATAGTAATTTCTTCCCTGCCAGGTTAAAAATTGAAAGGTCCAGTAACATGATGGCCAAAACCCCCTGTGTCCTCACCAAAGGCCTCCCAAAGCAGGATGAGCTCCTGGGGAGGAAGCACCTTCTACCCCACAGTGGTTCTTTCCTTGCCTTGGAAAGTTAATTTGGCATCTTGACAGTCATTAAATATCTTTGAAAGTCTACTGAAACCTACTGCTCACCTTTTTTTTCCTTTCCCATTTTCAGCCACCCCTTCCCAGTGAAGTTGTTCACCCTCTGTAAAGAAGAGATCAAAAGGTCCAAAGACATCCGGAAGCTTCGCTCCAGCATAGGAGTGTGAGTGAATGGAATCAACCCTTCCTCACAGAAAGGGAGGAGTATTTAAATCACCAGGTGTAACAGCTAGGTCTAGCTCATGTGGAATTTAAATGAAAAATGCACATGAATACATGTGAGCAAAGGTTGTGAGAGTGTCATGTGCTTCTGGGTGGTTGGGGTGAAACATGATCTGATAAAATTGAACAACTTTTAAAATGTTGATACTCCTAAAGAGGCAGGGAATCATTTGCTTTTTCTTTGTAGAGAGCTTGACACAGTGCCAATGACAAATATATATAATTAATTGATTAGGTCTTAGATGTGCACTGAAAACACCTGCAAAATGAGTGTCTGGCTTTAGGATAAAAGCCCTCACTCGGCTCAGGCAGCAGAGAGGGCAAAACCAAAATTTCCCAGTTGGAAAGGACAGTGCTGGGTGAGGAGAGGAGGGAAAAAGAGCAGGTTCAGTGGCAGAAACTTGGCAAAATCATCCCATAACAGTGTCAAGCAATGACTTTTATTGGCTGTCCTTTTATTTCTTTACTGGGAGCAGTTTCAGAGTGCAAGGCAGCCTGAAATGAGCCATAGCCCATCTCTGGTTTGTGTTTCCCCCTGACCTGCCCCCTCCATGCCCAGCCTTCCCTCTGCCCTCACTGTCCATGGCAGAACTTGCTTCACAGGTGGTTTTTAGCACAAATTTTGGTGCTGCTTGTCAAGTTTAACCTCACATTTGTACCTGGCACAGCCTGGGGCAGCCCAGTCACCCATCAGCACCTCCCAGACTCACCCTCAGTGTTTGCTTTCCCACAGCACTGGGAGTTTGGGATTTCCCATCCTTTTTCCCAATATATCTTCATCCTGATCCTCAAAATGTACCTGTGCATTTAAAACACATGATCTGGTCTTTTTCATATGTTTTCTAGGTTTTGTGGCCTGATTCAATTCCAAGGAGACATGAGAGAGAAAGTTTTCTTTCAGCTGTTTCTCCTCCTTTGCCATCCCTTTCCCATAGTAAGTACTGAAGACTTTGCATATTATCCATTTATTCTTTAAAATACAAATATAAACTAATGTAAAGTGCATTAAAGCACCATTCTTTTTAACAGGTATTAATGTATGGAACAACAGGTTTTATTTCTCAAGGATCTGCTACCTGCAGTGCTGCTCCCTGCAGCATCCCTGGCTGTGTCCCATGTGCTGCCCTTCCACCTCCAGGCCTTACTGGTTAAACTGGGAGCAAAGCAGGAGGCTCAGCCCTTTCTTTCTGTTACAGAGCCCCCAGCACAGGGAAGATCTGCTCATCATTTAGTGCTGAAAGCTCCAAGTAGATAATTTACTGTTAGTTCTGTGATACTTCTGAGAGTAGCAACACAGACGTAGCTCTGGTTCAAGGAAATTTGTTCTGTTTCCATGTTGTGTGTGTTTGCTCCATGAGGCATCCTTTGCTGGAGGGGCACAATGTAAGAAATGGGGAGAGATCATTTCAGGTTCACATTTTATGGGTATTTTACATCACAAAATGTGTTTTGTTTTTACAGATGGGTCAGTTTAATTTGGCACTGTTAGTCCAGAAATAATACTATAATTCCTTTGCCTTCCTTTGGTTACCATCAGGCTTTTGTCAAGAGAAAAAAAATTTGGTTTTGTTGGAATTTTGCTGTCTTCCAGTTAGCATCTTTCTACCTGTTGTGCTTCAGCAACCAGCCTGGCCAGCTCTGTGTGTGCACCCAATGTCACTGCTGACCTGAGCTCTGGGAAAAGAACAGGCACATGAACTGCTCCAGAACCCAGAGCAGGACAGGCTGATGCCATCTCTCAGCAGTTTTCCCAAGACTTTTGCTGATTCTTCTTCCAATCTCCAGACTGGGAAGTGGGTTTTATGAGCCTGCAGCAACCGAAGTTGGAGCCAGGCTTTGGCTCAGTGAGTCACTGCAAGGAATGTTCCAGTTGGGCCAGGCTCACATGGTTGAATTTATTCCCTATGAGGGACAGAGCTGTGGCCTTCCAGATGGGAAGTACTGAAGAGTTTAGGGAGAAACTGTAGGAATTCTTTGAAGTGCAGACATAGAATTCCCTGAGGTGCAAACACAAGGTCCCTTCCTGCAGCAAATCCCTGTCAGAGGCAGGAGTGGGCTCAGTGTCCACCATAACATGACAGCCAGTGTGAGGGACCAGTACCAGTGACAGCACTGGGCTCTTCCCTATGGATTGTGGATGCTTCCCTGACTCTGCCTGTGCCCCTTTCCCCACAGATCCGTAAGACCACGGCCAGCCAGGTGTACGAGATGCTGATAACCTACGGCGACGTGGTGGATCCTGCCATCATGGACGAGGTCATGGCCATCCTCAGTGACACCAACTGGTAAGTGCAGCTGTGCCAGACAGAAATAAGAGCTGAAATAATTTCTGAATGAACAGAAGTTTGATGGATGCCTTTGAGAGCTGGTGGGGAGGAAGCTGTAAGAAATTATTCCGTAGGTTCATCTATTTAATGCATTTAAAAGCATTGCTGCAAGGAATTCCTCTGTTCTAAAGAACGATCCAATTCACTCTCCCACTGAAAATGGGATGTGTAAAATCACCACTCGTTAAAGCAAAATACCTATATTTTTCTAACAGCATAAAAGGGGAGGAAATCTTGGAAGTTTTCCATGAAACAGAGACTGGGCTGTGCAAACAGTCAAACTGCAACTGCACAGACAGTTTCTTGGCATTTATGGCAGGATTTGGGGAGAGGAAGGATCTCTGCAAGCTGGAAAACAACAGAATTAGCAGAACAGCTCAAATCTCCCATGAAATGTAATTACTCAACATGCTACAAGTGCTGTATTCAAGCAAACATTTGGAATTGGAACAGTTTAGATGTTTCCCAGGCACATGATGGCATGAATTAAACAACCACTTTATAGAATGTAACTCATCTTTTTACCTACTCTTACCTGCACCTTTGGCCTCTTCCAAGGGCAGGTGAAGAGGGTCCTGTTCTCCACGAGCACAATCCACTGGAGCAGGACAGTGACTTTCAGGGCAGGGGACTGTGACAGGAGCAGGGACCCAGCATTTTGGCACTGGATTTTCCCTTTCTGCATAATTTAGCATTGAGCATTATCATTACCTGGGCAGATTGATAAAAGGCTGCAGGGCTTGGAGATCTGAGGGAACATGGATTTCTAAGGTACTATTTAGTTTATTACTTTTGCTGCCACGTTCAACATTTTCCCTTGTCCCAGACCTGGGCCATGGGGCTGCTGCCCCACACAGCACAGTTGATACAAGAGAAGAGACAGATATATAAAAAAATATATAATTTATTTAGTCATTATAATAAATGGCTTTTTGTCTCCACTGACATTTCATGGAAATAAAATTATCCCAGACAAGTTCAAAGAACAAATACACCTTCAGGCTGGATCACAGATTTGCAGACTCCATGCTACATTGTTTGACTTTTATGTACTTTCCAGTTTATTTCTGTGCTGGAGCTTAAATAACTTTATATTTGGGAAAAGAAAACTAAGTTTGTTATTGTGAGGGATGGCTGCTGCTCTTTTTCTGAATTTTCCAGTGCAAAATTAGAGCAACAGTCTCAGATTTGAAGGATTGGTTACCAGCAATTCTGCCTGTGGTTACAATTCCTTGTTTAACTGCACATGGAGGTTTAGGATTGTGTTTGGGGTGACTCAGTGCTCGCTTATGAAACCTGCATTTAAGAGCAGACTCGCTCAGAAATTGCATTAAGAGTTTTAACAGAATTACTGGAGCAGGATGAGATGGCTGCTGTCACCAAGGGGTGGTTTCAGGGCCAAAATTAGAAGTCCAGGAAAAGCAGTGGTAGTTCAGCTCTGCTTATAAAGGGGTTACTACAACAAAGCAAAATATTCCCCCCAAACCACTCCAGAAAAATAAATACTGTGTTTTCACCTTGTCATTTTTAGGGTGTGCCTGGTTTATTCTGGCCTGGAGCAGGCCCTGAGTACCCTCTTGCAGTGAGGCCATTGCTCTGAGATGAAAGACAAAACTCGTTTACTCAAAACTTAATTGTTTAATCTTGGTAGATTGGAGCTGTTTACAGAAGAAGAGATTTGAAGCAGTTGCTGAGTGTCAGAGTGAGCTGCTCGTTATCCTCAAGTTCTCTCAGTGCTAAAATAATCATTGTGAATTCTGAATTACACCAAGCACTGAGAGCAGGAAGCCAAATGAGAATTGGTTTGGGGGAAGATGGTAATTACTGGGATACACACATTTGTTCCTTTGGGGCCTACAGAGAGTTTATCATGCAATTGTGTCATGCAGAGTTTAAACAAATTACTCTATAAATAATACATGTTGTTTAGCCACAGGAAGGTTTCCAGGAGTAAATAAGACACATTGTCCAAGGTGTAAAAAAAGAAAGTTCAGGTTATTTCTGACTTGCCTTTCTTTGCTTTTTCTCTGTAGTTTTGGACTCTGTTTATGTGCCAAGAGTTAAATTTGTAATTAATTGCTCATTTACAGTCGTTACTTAAGAAAACCCAAATAAATGTCCTGCCCTGGTGAGCAGGACCAGCAGCCTCCCAACATTCCAGTTTGAGGGATGGGATTCTGCCACATGGAAAAGAATTCTGGTTGTAGGGATTTGGGGCATTTGGGACCTTTTTTAACTGACAGTTCTGGAAGAAATTATCTCATGGACATGATGCCATTTCAGAACTTTTTTAAAAGCCTCACATATTTTAGGTTTGGATTTTTCTATTTCAGGACAAAGCTTCTGGAGAGTGTAGAGTGTTCTCCAAATCCAGTAATGTTAGAGAATAAATTACTGAACTTAGGGTTGTATGAATAAGTGCTTTTTTTTTTAATATAAAACTCTGAAAGAATAGTCTTGGACACTTTAGTAGCAAGTGGTTACCTGTGGCAGACCTGGTGTGTATTTATGGGTTATCTGGCCTAAGATGGTACAAAAATGTTTCATTATTCTTAAAATGTGACAGAACAAAAACTCCTTGAATTTGAAATATACACAAAACAACATCATAATCCAGTAGTAACATGGATCACTTAGGATGTTGTATGACTATGGGCACCTTCAGGTTTTAATTTGTGAATTAACTGGCAAACCTTTCCTCCCCCAGGGAAGCAGAACTGCCCGTGGTGAGGGAGAGACGCAACTGCCTCTGTGACCTCCTGAAAGTGCCCAAACCTCAGCTGGTGTCCAAGGTACAGGTGGGAATGTGCTCCAGGGGGTTGTTTGTTCATGGAGGTGTCCCTGTGCACCAGGAGGGGTGTCCTGAGCCAGCAGCAGAACACGTGGAGTGGCTGAAGCTGCTGCCTTGAGCCCTTCCAGCCTCCTTCCCTGGGAGCATCCCAGGCTGGCAGTGGGACATCTCAGACACCACCCAGCAGGGACATGATGCAGCACAGATGTTCAGACACTGCTCCTCTGCCCTTCTTGGAGAAAGGAAAAAACACAAAAATCTTCCCACTTGCACCAGCAGGATGATGATGTGAGGTGTTGTGCAAAGCACAGGATTCCAACACTGCCCGAGAGGAAGAATGGGATATAAAAGGATAAATTCACAGGGAGACAGACTGTAGGTCCCATGTCACTCCAATGCAGATAGTTTGGCATTGCCTATCTGCTCCCTGTGACCTTTCTTTTTCCTCTCTCTCTGGCAGAGTTCAGCATGAGGAAGCTGCAGCCACTGGTCTGTACCTGGAGCTCGTGGCTCCAGTGCCACGGGGATGGGAGCAGGCTGTGCCATGGCATCCTGACATGCTGGAGCTCAGCAGGAGCTGAGCTGGACACTGCTGGACAGAGGAGGCAGAGCCTGTCTGAAAGCACAGTGCAGATGTGCCACAGGAAGGCAACCAAAACCCACTGTTTGCAGTTTTTAATGTCGTTATGTGGCAGGTCCTTGTCATGCTCTGTCACTCTGACCTGTCTGTTCTGATGTCAATGATTTGTATGTTCCAACTGACCAGAGCTTGTGCTTGCTGTCCACACACTGAGTATTAAACCTGACCTGCTGCACTGCTCTCTAAAGCATTGGTTTTTCATCAGGTGGAGAAATCTGTTGCTCCTGTGCCACAGTCAAACAAAAAAAATCCAAGTTCATTTCAGCTAAAGCCTCTCTTAAATACTCTTTATGTAACTAATTCAGGCAAATGGTTTCTGTGCTAAAGTAGCTTTAGGGATGAAGCTTTAGTTTACTGAAGACTAGGGGTGAATCAGTTCTTCAAGCACCTGCCAGGAATCCAGTCCATTTCTTACTCCTATAAAATGAAACTGCTCCAACACTGATCTTTAGTGAGACTCCTGTGACAGGGAGGGCAAATGCACAGGCCACATGATATTGTAAATACACTGTTATTTCATGGCTCTAATTAAATCCCACTCTCCCAGCACTTGAACAGGGGCTGTGTGTTTATAGACACATCTCTGCAAATGTGATGATCCTGCTCTTTTAGGATATTAATTACAATTGACTTCTGGTCTCTAGAATCTGATTCAGTCCCAGAGAAGAGCCACCCATGAGCCACCCAACTCCACTCCCCACTGTCACTTTATCCTGAGCCTCCACCATCCTCCTTCTCAGCTGTACAGGTGGTGTCACAGACACAGCTGTCCTGCTCACACAGCCCCAAATCCAAGGATGTTCCCCTTGAATCCCAGTCCTGGCCCTGTGCAGAGCCCTTGGCAAACACCAACAGCTGCTCCTGGGAGCAGGGAAAGGGTGAGAGCCCCAGGCAGTGTGTGACAAAAACCTCTCTGCTCTTCCAGTGCTTCAGGCTTTGCCTGAGGCTTCCCTGTGGTGACAGTGTGGTCTGGGCTGTGTTCGATGGATATTTAAATTAGAAATATACAGTTTAACAGTCAAACTGAGTGATGTGCCATGAGCACACAGCATTACCCGTGGTATAACTGTGACCTCCCTTAGGAAGGGGTTACTCAGCCCAAAGATTAAATTAATGAAGCACAAATTACTAAAAAATTCTAAACCCCTGAAGACTTTGGTCTTTCTGCACCCATAACACAGCTTCGGTCCCACTGCCTCACCTTGGGTTTAGTTAAAGTGATAATAATCCATCCCTTCCTTCAGGTTCAGCATGTCCAGGTTTGCTTCAAACACTCCACCTGTCAAATCCTGCAAGGGGAGAACAAGAGAATTAAATCAATCAAACAAATTCATTTCAGGTTGTAACAAGTTTGGGTAACTTAGTTCTTCAGACCACAGAAGAAAATCCAATTTGCAGAACTAAACAAATAAACCAAGGTTCAGAAATGTTTCCATTCAAAAAAATTAAGTGTCTGTTGAAAAGTTAGTGTTCAAATCAGTCTGGGGGGATATCAGACAAATCATCAGCTCACTCCTGTGCTGCTCTGTAGCTGCTCAGCCCAGCTCTGCTCCTTTTGTTTCCTAATGCAGGCATTGGCAGAGAATGGGCCAACTTTGACAAAACAAGTGGTTGGGCTGGATTTTGAGCACTGATTAGCTTGTCTGATAAAACAAACCTTTCATCAGGCAACTGAAATACTCTGCAGAGCTAAAGGTGTTTCCTTTTGAGCCCCCACTTGTGTTATCGGGACAGGAACCGGGGAGGTTTGTTCCATGAGCAACCTCAGTGATGTCACTAAGAAAACATGGCAACTTCAGCATTTCTGAGCATTTCTGCTGGGGTCTTCCTGGAGCCCTTAATCCTACTGAGCTTCAGGAATGCCACCAAAAAAAACCCCCAAAAACCTAATTAAAGCTGACAATACCAGAGGAGGCAGATAATGCGATTGCTCGTGTTCTTGTGTTGGTCCAGAGCAGCACCAGTGAAGTTTAAACAATGTAAAACACCACTGTGAGCGTGTTTAGGATGGGAAATTACAAAACTGAATCCAGATAAAACTGTGGAATTAAAGAAGGTGTAATGCTAGACTTGGCTAGAAGAATTGGATTTAAAAAAAATTACTCTGGATCTTTAATGAACCTGAATTTAGAAATGAAGGTTTGTCTCCTTTGGAGGACTGTGCATCCAGCTTCCCCTGGACACACTGGGAGCATGTCAAAGACACCTAATGATTATCAACATGCCAAACTGGTCCACCTGCAGAACTTGCCACTCACATCAACAGGGAATTCTCCTCAGAAATGAAGGTCGTGATGTGACCTTTAGCCTCCACTAATGATTCCATAAACCCAAAATTCCACAAGTTAGGACATAGGGTATGGAACAGTTGTGTTAAGCGTGCTGGAAAAACAACCTGCTCTACAGAAGGGTAAAAAAAAATATAAAAGAGCCCAGATGCTAAATGAAGTGGGAGAGTTAAACAGAAATCTTTCATCTGCACAACCAGGCAGGGCCGCACAATAACTGGTCTAACAGCAAATTTTCTGAAAACTTTACACAATCACACTACTTTAATTGCTGCAACAGAAAAATACAAATCCCTTTCATTTCCAGCCCTTGGAATCCAAGCCAAAACAGGGCACAATACAGCATTTTCTAAGTATTTTGCTTTTACCTCCAAGTGAGAGCAAACCCAGAGCACAAGCCCTTGGGTGAAGTGGTTCTGCAGCGGCTGCTCTGACCAGATACAGCCACACTTTTATCCTCCTCAGCACAAACTTACACACACACAGAGCAGAATTCCAGCTCCAGCCCTTTTGTGAAGCCACTATAAAATGCAAACTGAGCAAAGATCAGAGGATTCCTGCTTCTTCCAGAAGGATTTGCACTGGTACCAAAGCCTGAAGAAATAAATAAGCCAACACTGCTCCAAGGACGTGGCCAACAGAGTCACTTCTTGTAAACAACCCACTTAATAAACACATCTAATCTCCAAAATCACCCTCTTAGAGCTGCACAGAAACATGCAGGTTTTGTCTGTATCAAAATGAAAAATAATCCCCTACCAAGAATAGGAAAATAAAGCCAGTAAAGCCCCTTAAAGGACACCTCCTTCAGAAGAAGAATGGGGATAAACTTGGGTTGGTAAAGAATAAGCAAGCAGAAAATGCTCAGTGGCCATCGGTGGAAAAATAGACTGAAATCCCAACTGAAGTCATGGAGCAGAGTTTTCAGACAAGATGTTGTATAATAGTCTCATTGTAAGGGCTTCCCAGATTAAATGTGCTTTAGAACAGGTTGCACAGATGTTTTGTCTGGGGACTTCAACCCGCAATCGTACGTAGTATGAAAAATTCAATTAGTTGTAATATTACTTGCTGATCCAAGAGTTTTATCAACCAAGAGTACATGATAATGCCCTGAGGCACTTTCAGTCTGGCTTTACAACCCATAGTTATGATCTCAGAGTTGATGGTGAGGGTGGGAGTGCCAAGTTAAAAGCAGGCTGTACCAGAAGAGATGAGATTCAGCTAATCCATCTCTGAACAGATCTAGGCCAGTGTTAAAACTGTCAGTGTTTGTGTGTAGCTGCAGGTTTTAGTTACTGTCAGAGTTTTTGACTAGTGTTTGCAACTGGAATGCATTTGCTATTTTGCCTTAAAGCTTCTGTGTTATCCCATACACTGTGTTACAACAGCAAAAGAACTGCTGCTTATCATCTTCTAGTTATGTTATTAGGTCAATTAAACCAATTGAAATAGGTTACCACAGTCAGGCACAGAAGATGGTTCAGAACTGGCAGTGCCAAACAAAAAGGCTTATAAGGTCTGATTTAAAAACCAAAGCCTTTGCCATACATGGGGCTGCAAAATATCAGGACTAAAGGAGAGCAGGTGGCTGAGTGCATGTGTTCATTTGTGTTTATAATGGTGTTGGGTAAGGAAGTACAACAGATCCAAGCTCCTGTACCTTTCCTTACTCTTCATTCTACCCAATACTGCTGGTTTAAATCCCTGAAATACCCTGCACAATCAATTTGATAAAAAAGGCCATTCAATTGCATAGCAGAAGCTTCTGGGAGAAGCTGCTTTGAGTAAATAGAAACTCATTTTCCCAAGGAGCAAATCCTGCTGCTGCAGGTGAAGCAGCAGGTGACACTCACCAGCTTCACACAGATGATGAAAGGTGGAGCTGCATCTCTGAAGTGACACACAGGGACCTTTGGTTTTGGTCTCTCCTGCAGGAAAAGGCAGCAGAGAGACACACAGGTGACTTGTTTGGTTTTAGGAGCTGCTAAACTCTAAAAGGGGAAAAGATTCTTGTGAGCCTTCATGATGAACAGAGCAGCTGGTCCCACCCTCACTCCTTTGACTGGCATTTCAGTGTCCCTTATTCCTGTGCCATCACTTTTCAGTGCAATTGTGTTTCTTTGAGTGAAGTTACACATCACACAGATCTGAATTTGGAGCTTTCTGCTGCTGAAAGGAGCTGGTCTCTCCTCCATTGCTTTTCCCCTACCTCCAAGCTTTCAGCTCTTCCCTAAACAACCCTCTCTTTGATTCCATTGCAAGGTAAGCAGCTTCAACAGCCTACCCTCCCCAAAAAAATACATTCTTTCTTTTTTTGGTGGATTAATTTTTTGCCACTTGATTGAGCTACATCAGCTCCTGTGCATCAGAGCATCAGAGCAAAAGAGCAGAGATGGAGGAGCATCTTTCCCTCCCTGTGGAAGTCACTGAATGGCTTGTGCCCAACTGGGACTTCACCATGGATCCCAGCTGCAGAATTTCCTAAGGATTCACCACAGGTTGCAGCACAACCTTCTTTATGATTGACCCAAGAGCATGGGTGTGTCTTAGGAAGACAAATGCCCAGGATCTGTATCAATCATACTGACACTGGTAGGCAGGGAGTCCTTAGCATTGCAGGTCAAAATCTTGATTCCCAATTTCTTTCATGCAGCTCAAAGCACTCCCTGGCTTCCCAGTACAGAACCTGACTGGACAGTTCTAGGCTAAGCAAAAGCTGTACCTGAGGAGGGGCCCCTCCTGCCCTTCCACCCTCCCTCAGTCCTACTCCCATCACACACAAGGATCTTGCAACCTCAAGGTAATTTGATTCACAAGATAACTTGCTCAAAAACTTTTTATTTTGAGGGTTCCTTTCCCTTTTATCCACCGTAAACCAAATTCTACTCCCACTTAAAAGAAAAACCTGTCAGTGAAGACTGTGTTTTACCCATCCTCAGAATCCATTCAGAGTATGGATTTTTGTCTTTCCAAACTGACTGCAGTGAGTGTGAGGCCCATAGTTGTGGCTCCAGTGTCAATCCCCAGCCCTCCAGTCTTCTCTCACAGCCTCCTTACCAAAGTGAGTTGCTATGTAACATTTAAAATCAATGAAACACTCCTTCATCACATTTCCCAGGACACTCCAGGTCACAGTAAGGAACACAAGAGTGGTCATAACTCACCTCAGATTCCTCATAAGTGTAGAATCCTTTTGTTATTTTCTTTTCATCAACATCACAAAAGGCAATGACCTGGAACAGAGGAACAGAGGAACAGAGCATTTCAGTAGCAGGGTTTCACCTGTAGTGTAACCATGGAAGGAATGCTGCTGGCATGGGATGGACACAGGGATAGGGCAACACACCCTGGGCCTCCTACAGGGCCTAAACATTTATTAAATCCTTTCTGGGTGTACCTTAAGGAGTTGGGCAAACTCTGCAGTTGTTTATGAGCACATTCTGTTTTCAGGAGCACGAGGACAGGTGATCAAAGCCACTGACTGTGGCAGAGAACATCTGTGAGATCACCAACTTCATCCTCAGTGACGTGCTGAGAAACCTAAAACCAGAGACCAGTCTCCACATTTTGGCACTCCCACTAAACACCCAAGATAATACAAACCTTCTTTTATATAATAAAGCAGAATAGAATGTACCACCAGACACCCCAGGACAGTGGTGCTGCACCACTGCTTTGGGTGCTCTGGCAATACCAACCTCAATTCTAGGGCATAGCACACCAAGTTTGGGAATTCCTATGGATATGGACTCGTATTTTTCAACTGAAAAGTTCAGCAGATTTGGTGTTTAAACACATATAATTACTGCTCCATTTTGGTTATTCTTACTGGAATTATGGAAGCATTATTTGCAGCCCGAGGTGCCAAATATTTTAGATGGTGTTTTATTTCCTCATAAATATGCAGGCAGAATAAATGCCTGCCATCCAAAATACACAGTGGCCTTATTTTTTGAGCCATTAGGTTGCCAGGAACATTTTGGAAGACTTTTTAAAATAAACATAGCTGTGTCTTCCTCTGCCTCCCATTGGGTCTATTCAGATGATCTACACGGAGCTCTTATGCTGAAGCAGAACAGTGGAGACAGTTGAGGTCTTACAGAAATCAATTATTCTGCTGAAAGCTGGATAGCAGCTTTCATATCTTTTTAATTGCTCCATTAAAAATTGATTAACAACACTTACTGCTGAGAAAAATTGAAAAGCCAAACAGCTGTTTATTAATTTATTAAGTTAGAGAAGGGTGCAAAAGCCTGGCTTGTTTTCCATGTCTAAAATCTTTCTCACACATTTTCTTCCTGTGATTAAGATGGTTTTCTTTTACCTAAAGTGACCTCATTCTGTTTGTGCAGAGGGAAACACTGGTTTTTTTTGATACCATAATATCACTTCCTTAATTAAACATCAATGGAAGAGAATGCAAACAAAAGTATCAAGGGATTACAAATAGGGCTGCAAACCACCACTGTATCTGGAAAATGAGCTGATAAACTGGAGGAGGTGGGCAGGGATAGTCCCTGGAACCACTTAGAGGGAGGCATTCAGACCTGGGAAATGGGCTGCTTGAAAACAGGCACAAAAAGAAATAAAGATCAGAACATTAAGGAAAGGAAACGTTAAATGTTCATGGTGGGGCTTTGTGACTAAAGGAATCCCATCACAGGCCAGCAGATCCAGACTTGTGCTCTGGATGATCCTGGTGCAGGGATTGCACTGAGGACACTTAACACCCCTGTTTCAGGCATTATAATGGAAATAAAAAGAAAAGGGGGAATTCAGGGCAAAACTAGGAAATTACTGGACACTGTCCCAGGTGTCTGTGGCTGGTGCAGCTGGGTTAGACAGTGACACACACAAGCAGCTCCTTCAAGCACAAGCTAAGAACCAGGGGAGCTTTTTTTTCCTCTTAACCACAAATTGATAACACTTTACATCCCTGACCCTATTTCCATGCCCACTGTAATGCTTTATTGGAGTTGAAAAATCAGATGGTGTGACCAGAGCACAGTAAACTACATCCCAAATTTTCCTTTACCCATCCTATTTCCATGTGTACATACACACATGGATATAAATACGTTGTGTCCATGAAGGGAAGCAAGTAGAGGCCACTGGAGAGAGGTTCCTTAGGTGTGTTAAGCACCTTTAAAATTCTCCAATATTCTGCAAATCTCACTGTCACAACTAGTGTTTTACTGTCCTAGAAGCTGTAATCATAATAAAATTTAGCAGGGTGTGCCCTCACTGACAACCCAACAGAGTTCTAGGAATGAACACTGTACAGTACAGTGACTTATCTTCCAGTAATTGAAGCTATTTTTGCAGCTGCTTATGCTCCTATAGACATTAAAAACCAAAATAAACCACCAAAATTCATGACACAAGGTAAAGTGAAATTCTATCTACACTTCACTGTCAGTAACTGGGAACTCAGCTGTAAGATCTGTGCTGGGAAGTGTCACAGTGTTCAACTCCAGTGTGTTATACCAGTTAACAGAAACCCTGACTGGTGCCTAGACTTCTTCTCAACATGAATTAATTTCTTCTCAATATCCAACCTAAATCCACTCTCTGCCAGTTTAAAACCATTTCCCCTTGCCCTGTCACTACATGCCCTTGTAAATACTCTCTCTCCAAAGACAGTTCTGCCAATAATCATAATCCTTCCTCTCACCCTGGGCCATAACTCAAAAGTGCCAAGTGCCTTTTCCATCCTGACTCCCCAGCTCCCAGAACATCCCACACATGAAACTGGGAAGAGCAGCTCCAAGAAAAAAATAATACAGGTGAATCTGTGACAAATTTCTCCTGGAAAACAGAAACAACTCGAATCCTTTTCCGAGTTCCCACTGAGGTATCTCCCTCTGTAATCCTCAATGGACTCAGCCAGCTTAAAATCTGATATTTACAGTAGAGTAAAACAGGTCAGACTTGAATGGGCAATTTTTCTGCCAGGCAGTTCACCATGTGGGTGGCCAAAAATCTAAGTCAACTGTTTTTCTGACACACGCTATTTATTTTCCAATTAAAGCAAAGCCATGTCTGGAGTCTAAATACAGGAGTTAGGCACAGTTGTTTATCCTATAAGGAGAACTCAGGGCATCAGGCTTATGTGAGTTATTTACTTTATACTCTATCAGGATAAACCCAGAGTTACCTATTTATTTTCCTGCATTAATGGGCTTCTTTCTTGTAGCTTTTATGATGACCATCTATCCATACATGAACTCCTGCCTCCCTGGGAGGAACCTATGAATTATAAAGCCATAAAACAGTCTCAATTTGCTGTTTTTCTTCCCTCTTTTTAGCAAAATGACTCTTTGGCAATGCCTCTGACAGTGTGACACCATTTAAGCTTACAGAGTCCTTATATCACACTTCAGTTTTATCAAAATATATAAATTATTACATATTTTTGTTTTCAACATCACTTGTATGAAAATCTATACAATTCCAAAACAAAGGAAAAAGACTGCTAATTCAGCTCAAAACTTGGGGACACAGCTGGGTATCTGTTATAGACAAGTTATGGAATTACTGTAATTTGTATAAATATGGATTGCAACATGCATTAACAGCGGTGTAAGGGAAAAAGAAGACATCGTTTTCTCCCTCATAGAGAAAGTTTACATAGCTCCAAAGATAAGATATTTACTCAAAAACAATCTCTGCTGGGGGAAGACACGTTTGAGGAAGATAAAAGCCCTTCTCTGGCTGGATCTGCCTCATAAACACAGAGGGACACCCAGGCTGGGCCATCGGACCTCCCTGGGGAAAAGAGGATTAATGGGCAGCAGATTGATCCTCCTCCAAATGTAGAACCAAGGAAGTCTCAGAAGGACAAGGAATGTCACTAGGAATGACAGCAGAGTGGGTTTGGGGTGTGACTACCTGCCTGGTTGAGCTCTGCTATGATTACAATTAATTGTTTGTTTCCCAAGAGACTTGTTTTACTGCAGGGAATGTTTCCTCACACTTCTCAGTCCAGTCAGATTTCCTAATAGAAAAACTGACAGATTTCATCAGCCAAGTGATGTCCTTTTACGGTGAATGATCTTCATAGGATTTTACTCCCTCACCTTATTTTCACCTGTGGTTTGCTTTAGCTCTGTAACCATCACTTACAGGAAGCAAGAAAACAGAATTACAGCACATTCTCAAGGTCTGCTTCAGCTGGGAGGATCCCAGAGGCAAGTTTTACATGGGAGAGTGAATAACTGAGTAGAAGGTGATAGAAAACTGGAAAACCCTTTCAATAAATGGTCTCTTGTTCACTGTCTTCTCTCCTTCCTCATTACTTCAGCTGCTCTCATAAAAGACACCTTCAAAGAGACAACCTGCAAACTCTCCGAAATCCCACAGGAGCAGATCTTCCCTACTCCTTTCTCTCCATATCTCACACAATCCTCCATCTGTTTTAAACTTCCAGTGACCCTGTAATTCTTCTATTTATAATTCTTCCATTCCAGCTTGCAGAAAGCCTCGGAAGCACGTTAATATACATCTCTGCAAAAGGGAAATCAATTCTGGCCATTCACGTCAAAACAAAGCAACTGAAAGCATTACAATGCAAGTTTAAATAGATCCAGCTAATGGCAAACAGAGCAAGAGACAGGCAGAGGCATAAACATCTCCTGGTGTGCCACAAACAGAAACCAGCAAACAACTCTGTGCCACAAGCTGAGTGATTTTCTGTATCAGGAGCTGCTTTTATTTCACTTCTTCAGCATTGCAGCAGGACAGAAGTTGTGGGTATCTTTAGATCCCAAGCATGCATTTCACTGCTCCATTTAGACACTATTCCACTGAGGAGAGCAGCAGCTTCCCCCTCTGCACATAATCCATAGCAAAGTCACTCAGGAGAATTTGAACACCAGAACCCAGCTTGCAAAATAAGCTGCTGAACACTGGACACACAGAATTTCCCTTGTTCCACACAACATACACCTGCCTTTACAGTGAGGGTTCTTGTTGCCAGTGTCTCATTTCTCTAGAGCAGGTTCCTCCTACCTGAGTCATGCCAGGAATGTTTCAGGTGTGAAACCTCTGTGCTGGCAAAAGAGAGGTTGCCAAAAAGCACATCTTGTCGTTTGGAAGGAGCAAGGAGCTTTCCTGGCCGTATTTCACCATCAACTATTCACTCAATGTCCAAAATGAAGCCTCTACTTTACCTCACATCATTTAAAGACACTTTATACCTGAATTTAACTGAGTCTTTCACATTTCATCTCTGTCTCTCCTTGTTCTGGAGGCTTTTAACTCACTTTCATGACCATTCTACTTCTCACTCCACAGTCAAGGTGGGTGTGATATTCTTCCATGTTTCTTTTCTTTTACATGTCCCCACTCCACTCTCCTGCAGCCATTCATGTACTTTTAGAGTGGTTAAAATGCTACAAAACTTAGACATTCCTCAGTTCTGTGAAGGATCAGAGCTGAATCACATGGTTTGGTGATGCTGCTCTTGGAAAAAGGTGAAGAGAAACCAAGGGATGATTTTAAGTGGTCACTGAACCAGGAAAAAGGGCCTTCAAAGTACTTTCTGAAGCTTTTGAGTTTTGCCACCAGCAGACAGTGTTGTCATAGAGAATCTCCAGGGCCTGGCTGTGTAAAGCACTGTTTCCAGGCCACTAATTAGTTGGTGCTTATTTCATCCTTTCCCCTGCTTTTTTGCGAGCCATTTGAGCCCTATTTTCAGCCCTCGGAAATGACACAGAACGTTAATGCTGAAGTTCTTCTTTTAGCTGAAGTCTGATGGAGAATAAAAGAGCAGACAAGACAGCTCAGAAAACCCTCCAGGCACATGTAGCATCCCAAAAAACATTTGGTTTCCATCTTCAGCTGGAAATTATAGACACGACGGATGTGTTTTAAACAAAAAAAGGTCTGTTTGACTTCATTCTTGCAGAAATGCTAATACTGAACCACTGTCAGTGGTGTGAATCAAGAAGGGAACAGCCAGGAAGCAGAATTTCCCTAAGAATACTGAGATCATGGTAATTAATTCATAAAAAATCCCTACTAGTGGAGTAATTTTTTTCGTGTGTTGCTGTTTAGCAAAAATATTGAGCCTTGGATTTTTGCCTGAACGCTTTGGAGACAAAGCATCATTTTAACATTCACCATACAGATGGTTGAAGGAAAAGAGAGAATTGCTGAGGTGTCCTTTTGTCTTTTAACAGAACCATAATTCAAATTCACACTGTTTTCCAAACAGACTAAAGCAATAATTTGTTACTGAGTATGAACATACCCAGACCGCTGCTTCCTGGAATTGCCTAAATTTTGTTTTCTAAGAAACAATGCTGTCTGGCATGAAACAGAGCTGTGCTTTTCAAACATCCCACAAAGACCTAGTCAGCACAAGAAATGCAATTGCTTTGTTTATCAGCTTCTAAAAATACTAGAAACATTCCTTTTTTTGAAAAAGATGGGTTTTTTACACACCCTAAGCTTGACAGCTCAAACTAATTAATCCTCTTCCTGAAGATTTAGTAGAGTTTAGGGTGGGTTTTTTTTTCAGAATTACAAAATGACACAAGCTGTATGTAATAGGTTTTTGGGGGGGATATTATCTACCCTCGGGGTATGTGTCCCAAATTTTCTACAGGTACTTAGTGCCAATTGAGAAAACACCCTGCTGTGACTCCACAGTCCAACCAAAGTCAGGCTCAGGACATCTAATGAAATTCTGAATCTCAATAAAAGGATGCAGCAACAGTCAAACAGAGCACAGGTGACATTGTCAAGAGCCTAAACTGACTTTAATTATAAAACCAATTAACATTAAGTTTAGAGGGGTAAATTAAATAAATTTAATTACACTTTACAGCAATTTTGGCAATTTTACCTGCATTTCAAAGGCTGCTGGACCTTTTAAGATGACACCCTTTTAATCAATGGACCTTCAAGAGGAGAAAATGATAATTGTATGGATGTAATAAATCATATTTTGCCCTAAGGGGCTTTGGAATGGTGTTTTAAAGGTGTCAATTTTACATAATTGATGAATTCATATCCCAGGCCCTCCATTTACAAGACAACATGAGATTCTACTTGTAGATTCAAAGTGATATTGAATCTCCAGTGTTCTCATAATTAACAGAATATATGAAAGCTTAAATCTTGTTAAGGTGGTCTTGAAAGGGTGAGACAGGAAAAGTATTTTATTGTTTTTAGGGCTGGAAAGGATGAAGCAACAACTATTTACAACCTTTGTTCATATGGGATTTTAGAGTCTTTGGCAAGAGTTCCAGATTAGTCACAAAATACCTGAAGGATTTTTGAGGGAAAGTAGAACATGGAGTTTCTCTACAGACCTTTTACTGTTATTAATTTAGAATAAAATTAAAACTGCCACCAATTACCTACTGCAAATTATATGATTTTATTTCCTGAAACTCCAGCAGCATAATCCTTTGATTAGCTCTGGGAGAAGTGAGATGTTTTCACTCCTTACAGCCCTTTGCCGTGTGACTTACACGAAACATGAGGATATCATTTAGAGTGTCAGCTCTGACTGAGCTGCACAGACTTGGGATCTCACTTTTGGAAAAGCCACAAATTTAGAACAGCAATCATGATGAGCCTGAACAGATACACAGAACTAGTGCTTTAATCACTACAGGGAACAATAATTTAATCAGAAATTAGCCTCTGCTCTCACTTCAGATGACACAAGTCCTTTTCTGAAGCTATTTATCTTTGCTGGTTATTGAGAAAACCTCTTAATGCTTCAGATAACACGTCAGACTCAGGGGGTGAAGTCTGATTACTCTGCATAAGGTATAAAGGATCACTGTGCCTGCATTTTAGCAGTAGTTTTCTGCAGTAACTGTGCAAAATGAGTCACACTTGGCACGTGCAACTGCATCTGGCACGTCCTAAACGTGTCTGGAGTAGCATCCAGTAACTCATGGGTTAATGCTCAGTGCAATATTTCAGTATCAACCCAAACCATACTGGAATATGTGCAGTTGTAACCTTGACAGAAGCAAAACAGCATCAGGGCCCAGAGCTCTGCCAAAGCAAACGTTATGGAAAGGTCAGCTGGAAGGAACGCTGGGATCCAGCTAATTGGAACCACACTGCCCGTGCTGGGGTGCAGGGAGTGGAGGCTGTTCCCTCCTGGAGGAGAGCTGAGCTTGGGTTCTTTGGCAGGAGAGTGGCAAAACCCCAACAATATTATTTTTCTCTCGCCCTTTTTATCATCTCTGCTGTGACACCTTCAAGTGTTTGTGTGATGTGAAGTCCTGAATGGGTCACCTACAGATGTAACCCAAAGCTGGAGAGGTGCTCTACCTCAGCATCCATCTCCATCTTGGCTTGGTACAAAGAAAAGCTAGAAAACAAAATAAAACAAAAAACCAACACACCTAAGATGATGAAACACTGCTACAAAACCAAAATGGTCTACTTTTACTGTAACATCTCAAAAATCTACCAGACCAGCTGCCATCTCTTCCCTTGGAGCTTATTTTCTAATTCTCCTAATTTTGCAGACAGAGAAGTGCAATTGTTTGTTGCTGGTCAGTCAGTGGAATTCAAAGTGCTCAGCAAAATACTAACAAAAGAGAATATTTTCATCAACCCCCCAAAATCACACTGCACTGCATGGTCAAGGTAACAACACATTGAGAGGACAGGTCTGTCCTCTTTGAATGAAGCAACTGATTGGGGACACACAGCATTTAACCTCCTTTCTTCCTACAGTTCACCCCCTGCCACGTGATGGCAATGACTGAGGGATGGCTTTGGAATGGCACTGGAACATCAAGCAGGAAATTCAGTTCAATTTTTGCTTTGTGCATTGACTGTCTGAGTGTCTCCCGTGTCTATTCAGTAATTTTAACTATGTGTATACAAATGTCTTCCATTTTTTTCAGATGTGTGTGGTCTCAGGGCCACCACATTAATCAGGTTTATATATATATTTGTCATTTTGTCTTCCCATCCATATTCTTAGGAAAAGAAAAACACATCCAGCCATAAAATGAATGTTCTGTGGTTCTTTATAAGAAACAGTCATCTGACATCAGCCCTACAGCCTTTATCTAACAAAAAGTTATTGCACACTAGAAAATGCTATAAAAATAAGGTATTTAGAGTCTCAGACAAATCTGTCCTGAGAAATGTCTGCCATTGCCAAATATAAGCAACCTCCACATTTTCAATTGACTGTAAATTGGACAGTCATGTGCAACAGTTTCCACTTGCCTGTTCACCCCACTCCTCACCCCTATTTTTGGCAATTGAGCTTTCCAAAGGGAGTCACAGCACAACTGCTCACAGGGCTGACCAGACTGATCAACATCCCACAGGGACCTGTCCAGCAGCCACTTTGGAACTGGGAAATATGTATGAATGAGCCTGGACAAGGCAGTTTAGCATCACAGCATCCAAATAGTTACTCTACTCAGTCTGAGTACTGGCTGCTACAGACCAGACACTGCTACACAGCGTAACTCACCTACTGCTGCACTTAGTTACCAGCATGTTGCTCTCAGTACACACCATAAGCTCTAAATAAAGTAACATGGCATTTTAAAAGAAGAAATACATCATCTGGAATATTGAGGATTGCCCCAGTTTATATTAATCATCAACTAGTGCTTTTTTTGTGGACAAAATATCTGATGAGACATTTGCTACATTACGTCAGAAGGGCACAGGAAAGAGAAGAAGTGGTTTTGTATGTTTTTTACCCACTTACTAGCTCACCTTTTTCCTATTAGCTGGTGACAAACTTCTGTAGAGCTTCTTGCCTTGCTTGCCAGCATTCCAAATGGTGAATGATGTCCAGGAGCTCAGGACTCTGTCCTCAAGGAATCTGACTCGGTGGTTCCAGATGGTTCCCCTGGTGAGTTAGAAAAAGGGTGGATTTTGGCCTGTGAGGCTTTTAGTATTATTATATATTATATAATAATATTATATATATATATATATTATTATACATAAAACAAATATAATATTATATATTATTACCCTATATGCATACACTCCCCTACATGTAAACCTGACCAAAGTGATTTACATAATACAAAAAAAAAAAATCACACCAAAACATTATTTATTATTAGTGATTTAATTGTAAAAGTTCCAAAGTATTACTCTGCAGTGACACAAATGTGACTGTGCCTTTATTTGAAGATGACTTTCACAAGAAACTGCATTTCTAGGAACAAAGAGCAGCGGAAACTTTTTATATTTCTTTTTTTGGATGAAGGGGTATGTCTCATAAAACTTCTTAAAACATGCTCTAGGAAAAAAAAAAACGCAAGCTGGCAGATGTCTGTGTCCAATTACACCTTCATGTCTTCATCTTCGGGATAAGTTCCACAAGATAATTTAAGCCAAGTGGTTGAGGTAAACAACTGTGACAGTAATACCAAATGATGAACCACATGGCTCTGGAACAGCCAACAGCTTTAAACACTGAAGGCCCACTGAGAGCTTCAGTAAGTTCAAGGCAGGTTCTCAAAGAGAAGACAATGTCAAGGAAAGCAGTTTTGTTTTCCTCCCAGTTCACAAATTCACTTTGACAACTACAGCACTTTCCACATGTGTGTGTGTGTGCTCCACCCTATAAAGTAACATTCAGGACTGCATCATTTACAGTGGATTAAAAGAAACTGCCTGCTGTTAAAAACATCTGCTTTCTGTCCAGGGTTCATTTAATATTCATTAACTAATAACTTATCTCAGACTTAACAAACAGTTTTCTTGATAGAATACATTGATTTCCTCAATTTATGCCTTGACAAATGAATCTTCCTAACCTACATCTCCTGAACAAGGCACCTTGAGTGGAAACTTTCTTTCATAGGAAATTCTGATGAACACCTAATTGTGTCTCCTTTCTGAAGGCATTTCTTCAAATGGCTTTTTCCATTTGCTTATTCCCATCATTCCATCACAGCCCCAAGCTATGGGTTTGAAATCCCTCTTAACACTCAGGCAAATGGACTCTTGCTGGGATTGTTCCTTAGATCCAGCACTTCACTTCACTTCAGCAGAGCCAAACCCTGCTTTGCACTTCATCACTGACCCTGGTGTGGTAACTTGGAAAGGGCTTCATGCACAAATAAATGTACCCAAGCACAACAGCTACTCCATATAAAACCTCCCCCCTGTTTGGAGGATGATGATTGTGCACCAGCATTTCAACTAATGGAGGGAAAAAACTCTTGGATTTGATCACAAATCTCTTCTAATGCAACCACAAACTGCATTCCTGCTTGAACTGCTGCTGGCATCCTTTGACACTTGCCTTTTTCCATGTTCATTAGAGCATAATATATTCCCAGAAGGAAAGTTAAAGGAACCAAATATGAAGGTCAAGTATTTTTCCAGGATCGCTTTACTAGAGATTTTAGAGCTTCTGCTCACTTCTAAAACGAAAGATTATCGCTTTGCACGTAAATGGAAAAGTTTTAAAAGTGATTTTCCTTTGAAATGTGACTTCAGAAGGATAACACTGTATTACATTCCAGAGGTATTTCAGAACCTGTTCTATTGGATTGAGTGACACCGGCAAGTTTCTTTTCCACTTGAGTTTGCAACGTTAAGAAAGCAAAATTAAAAACCAGGCAACCTTACAAGGCATAAATAGAATTATCAACTAATTTCTAGTTGCAGTGCAAACACTGCAATCCACCTCCAGGCACACAGAAAATGTTTTTAATTGTCATGGAGATCCCAGCACAGCAGTATTGGCTCTTCCAGACAGTATTTGATGTCCAGGTGATGGGAGCCTCTACGCCACAAAAGTCCCTATGCAGGTAAAACTCAAATCTCATTGTTAATAGAAGATTTCAGACTGAAGCAGATTTACTGGCCCCATCTTACCTATGAATGTTATTTTGAGAAGTGTAAGTGGTGAAAGTATGTAAGGGAACTGCACTCAGAAATAAAAGGACATAAAAGTTATCAAACTCCAAATTAATTGGAGCATTGTTCAAACATAAGAATATTGTCACACAGTTTCGTTTAAGGACCAATAAACAGCTTTCTTAAACACCTATTTTGGGTTGTGAAAATGAAACCAACATGCCCAGCAGTTGTGAGTTTTTGCTTGCATCACTGTGAGGCATATTCTGATGACAGTGCTCACAGAAAAGAACTTACAACTCACCCATGTTGTGTGTACTCTTCTCCATTTAAAAAATTAAGTTATATTGAACACTTTGCAGTCTAGAGTCAACCCCAAAACATTTTTAACAGTGCAAGCAGAGATAAATACAGGACTGAGGGGAGAATTTGTGACTGACTTTAGAGTGACACTCACAGACTTCACCTTTGTTTTCAGCATCTCACACGCTGAAGCAAGAGATGCTCAGGGGGTGTCAAGGCAGAGTTTCGGTTACCCCCGCTCAGGTTTCCGCTTCGCCTAATTTGCCACATTTTTTGATGTTTCCAGAAGAGATAACTGGGATTCCTGCCTGGAGGGATAAGGGAATGCCACTTTCCCATCCTTTACGAGCCAGTGCAGGTGCACCAGACAGGAGCTGCAGCAACGTGCAAAGGATGATTAAAGCAAACGCCTGAAACGATCCAGGGGTTGTACAAACCACTGCCGGGAGAGGATTCTCACAGCTATTTTCAGATTATGCATTATTACATATTCATAGCCACCAGCAACACCTAGGAGGTGTTATTACTCCACATCACCCCAAATCAAGGCTGCTTTTCCTACCCAGCTCAAAAAGGACTGGAGAAAGCAATTTGCAGTAGCCTTTAAGAGCATTTCCAAGCCTGCACTCAGTTCACAAGAGTCTCCTCAGCCAGAAGGTGGGATAAAATTCTTCTCACTGTTCAAGTTTGCTCCCATATTCTAATACCCTATGTCCCCAATTCTTGAAATACATTATTTTCCCCATTTCTTTCATTTTCTTGTCACATCTTCACAATAGAAATGTTAGAAGTATGCATTTTTCCACTTGGAAAGCCATTCTTGAGGCTTACATAATTTTCCTAAGCTCTCACTTGCCGTGGCCCCTCAATACTCATCAGTTATGTTGTCTGGAAGGAAGAAGAGGAGCCAAATTTCTGCAGGAGTGAAATGAGGGTATTCATGCAGTGGGTGAGAATGACTACGCCGTGTGTTCCTCAGCCCCAAATAGTTATTACCAGACCATCTACCCAAGTAATGCAACAATGGAGCTCTGTTAGAATGTGTGGTGACCTCCTGACTGAACACAGGAGTCAAGAAACATCTGCTCTACTCCTATTTTGAAATGAAAGATAATGTGACAATAAAAGCAATATGATTTAATGTCTGAGCTCAGTCAAACCTCACCGTACTGTTTGAGTGCCTTTCCCCTCCTTCCCCCAGTGAGGCTACATAAGTGAATCAACAGAGCAAGGACAGATGTACAACTACTTGAGAAATGCAGAAATACAAGCCCAATGTCCTAAACAGTACTGGAATTTTAGGCATTGATTGCCATCTCCAGTAACACTATAGATCCATAAATCTGACCTTTTCTCTGCACACTGGCCCCCACACTGCTCAGGTGACACCAGGCAGGAAGAGGAGCTGCCCAAGTGAACAGCCCCTTCCAGCGGCTTTTTCCTGATGGCAGGACAAGAGAGTTCTGGATTATAGGTGAATCCCACCTGATCGATAAACCAGAGGTGGAAGAACAGAGAATTTCTTAATCACAGTGAGAGTTGGAAGAACAGAATTCAAGGTCCTTACAGTCCACAGGAAATTCAGAAATAAATCCTATTTGAACCTTGGCCATGCTGGTGAATAAACTGATATTTTTTGTCATTGTTGTTCTGTTGAACTTCATGTGAACTTATTAATTGCTGGACTGTATCGTCCCACTGAGTTATTACATTTACACTGTTAATAGGTTCTATTAATGTCTGAGTTCATCCTCAGGTCACGGGTCATTAGCTGAGGCATGGTTTGCATTGTGGCCTATTTTTCATGAAAGGCTTATTAAGAAAGACAGAGACTATCAATGTTAATGGCATTTACTTTTCAAGAATCTAATGAGGTCATTAGTTTCCATGTTTAATTGAAGTGCCAAATGCAAGCATGGAAGATAAAAATGCAGTTGACCTCATCTTTATTTCAGCTGTACAGGAATATGTTACGCTATTCCTCCCTCCTGCCTATTTTTGGATGTGTATGTTTTTGCAGGAAATGAAGGAGGCATTCCCGTGCTCATCACTGATAGAGACCCAGAGCACCTCTGGAACAGCCAAATGTTTCAGGCCAAGTGCCTGTTCTCCTTTGCTCAGATGACACTGGAAACTTCCAGTGCTTGAAACCAGATGGTTTCAATAGATTATGTAATTTTGGTTATTTCTGCAGACCAATATTATACTTGTTCTGAATACAGGGATATGAAATTACTGAACCCTTGTAGGTGCACTTCACCTTTTCTGCCTGAAACAGAACCACCTGAATCTCAGACAGAAGGGACAAAACTTATTTTCTGCATATAATTAAATTTTTCTTGACTAAAAAAAAATGTATATTGCTACAAGGATTAGCAAAGTTCCCCAACCACCTGTCTGTGAGCAACGTTGCCCAAAGACAAGTGCACTGGTTTATTGCTCATCTTGTTCCAAGCTGGCTTTCATCTCTCAGTGAGGTACATTGTTGTATATACAGTCCCTTTCTCTCCACTTCAGCTAGATAAAGATCTATGAGTTTTACAGTGTTTTTATTACACATCAAACTCTCTTACTCCAGCACTTCTCGCTCCAAAGCCAGCTCTGATATCACACCAGTGTAACGTGGATCTGCAGCACTGAGCACACACAGCCCTGGGACACAAACTGCAACGTGAGGTAAAGTGATTCAGATCCAAGAGGTACAAGGTGTGGGATTTTGTATTGTAAATTCCTGGCTAAAGATCCTCAAAACTTGTCTTGCTCATTCCCATCCAGCAGGTATCCACCCCGGATCGGAGATGAATGTCTATATTTCTGCACTCTCCTAACAAAATCTAAATATAGACACTGAACCTCGTGCAGATTCTGTCACGCACCCAGAGCACTTAATAACACAGACTGATGCCCCCAGGGGAAGGGAGAATGCAAATAAGATTGTGTTTCCTGCTTCACAGATATTCTCAACTCCAGATATTTGTTCCAGAAGGATACTAATCATAGGAAATGACCTAAAAAACGTGAGTGTTTGCAATTATACACGCTAAATAAAAAAAGAACCAAATGTCACTTGCCAAGTAGTTTTACATATATTTTAGGAAGTCTGAAAAAGCAAAGTCAGGCTTTTTTTTCCCCTGCACGGTTCTGAAAGACACCCACATAAACTGAAATCAGTCCATCACAGGCTACAAGTGACTGTTGTCTTTGCTGAAAAGATGGAATCGTGCACCCTTGTATAAACAAGTCCTGGTAACCAGCTCTGCTATTTAAGACTGAAATTAGGCATAAGTGTTAAAAAAAAAAAAAAAAAATCCAACTTTCCTACAAGCATAATTTTGATCTCAGACAAGATCTTAATCTGGCTGGTGAGTTACTATTTCCAAATCCAGGTCTGGGCTAAGTCAAAATTCGAAGACGACACGGGCCAATGGCAGAAAGACAAATACCACAGAAAACTGCCCAACAAACACCCCCCAAAAAAAGGCTTCTAGAAAAGCCAGAACACGCAAATTAAATAAGGTGGGGTGACCACAAGACGAGTTAGGTAAGACTCAATTTAAATTATAAACTTAAACCCTTGTGATGAGCCCATTAATCTCTTTTTGCCCAACACGCACCTCAGTCTTCAGACACAAACACTTGCCAACCCTTCAACAACGTGGGCAACAACGAGCCAGGATGAAGAGCTGTTGCACAACCTCGTGTTTGGAAGTTCACACCAAGTATCACCACCAGCAGGGCCAGCAGAAAGCCAAGGGGAAGAATGGCCTCCCCTGATTTCTCAGAACGAGACACGAAATTTGGAACATCCCCACCGCACATCTGAAACAGCTCCCAGCGTTTCCACATTCCCCCAGCGTGCTGTAATTCAGGGGGCTTGTGCCACACAACCTTGTAGATCTGGATAAGCAACAGCTTGCAGTAAATTCAAAACAAATCCGTTTCCAAGAAAAGGATGCTTTCCCACACATACAAGCAAAAGGCTTCCAGGAGCTCCAGCATCCCACGATGCGTGGCTGAAAAGCTGGCCACTGAGTGCCAGAATGATCCCACACTAAAAGAGGGAAAAAAATTCCCCTCAAACACCAATAAAAAGGAAAATAATTTACCTCGTGCTTGTTTGTGAAATCCAAATAATATGTTCCATTTGCTTGGAATGACCTTTTCATAATTAAAATTATTTTATAGGCATACATATGTATTTATAAAGATCTATAGTGACATGATCACTATATCATGTGCTATTTATGCTTAGCATGTTGCAGTATTTACAGCAATACAATAACATAGTGATAGCCAACCAAAATGCACACAGGAATGTTTAGTTTTACTACTCAGCTCTACAAAGCCACACATCTATGACTGAAAAGTGCGTGTATACCATTAATCAGTAAGAAAACAAGTTTACTTAATTACCACTGTGATCTTGGTGTGGGACTCCTGAAGAAAAGTAAAACTCATGTAATTTTCTATTAATGTCAGTGCACAAGAGAAAGGAACAACTTTGGCTCAGTTTGCAGCACACAGAGGAATCAGCAACTGGCAATTTAACATCTCCTTTAGGGGCTGAGCAGCCCTGGAAAGGCAGCAGGGAACTGCTTACAAGGAAGCACCTGAGATAATTACCCTAAACATCCTCAGGGATTTTTCAAACCTCATCATTTGATTTAGATGGTTTAGACCCTTTAAAATAGGAAAATAATATATGTAAACGCAGCACATTATCAGATTAAAGCTTTAGGTTTGTTGGGTTTTTTTTTCAGAGGGAGGTTTTTGTTGGTACTACAAGTTTCTGTTTACTTTTTAAAAATTGAGACAGTGATTCTGAAACTAAGGTTTACCATTTTAAAAAAAATTATATACATTTACATTTTTATATTATGTTTCACATGGCAAAAACTATGAGAATGAAAGCCTCACATATTAAAACTCCTAACTAAAAACCCCAATAAAATTTTACCACTAGGGTATATTTTAAACATATTCTTGCCATCATGTTCAAAGTATTGAAGAAGTTATTGCTTCACTGCTTGCTTCACTCCTTGCTTCTGAACAGGGATTCATCAGATCAGATACAGAACCACACAAGTGATTCTTTATCTGCTGTGGGGGCAAGAAATTCTTTAAATTTTGAATTTTTAAATTTTAATTATAAAGATGCTTTAGAGGAGCAGGGAGGTTACTCAGGTAGGTTCTGAGATCTCATGTGATGGGTTGCACAGCCTGAATGAAGAATACATGGACATTGGGAAAACAGCACTGCTGTAATGCAGCCCCCAAAATGCTCCCTTGCTCTTACAGTACCTATTGTGAAATTATTTCAGAAACAGTTGCAAGGAGAAAACAATTCCTTAGAATATTTACCAAATATTGAGGTGCCCCCAGCCCATTCCTGCCTCACCCAGTCACAGACACCAGTGCAGTGACAGCCTGAGGGCAACAGGATCTGCACCAAAAGATTTCCATTCATAATTTCAATTCCAGCATTACAGGAATTGAATTACTCCAAAGCAATTTATAGCAAGAACAAACAGAAAACTGGCCTTCCACCATCAAAACTACCAACATATTATGCAATGCTTGCTTTTCAGCTTTTTTAAACAAACAAACAAACAAACACACAGACACAACTGGGTAATTGTTTTGCTGTGCAATGTCTGGAACACATTAAGCATCTTTGCTGCCTATCAACCACAATAAAGCCAATTTTTCATTTCTCCCAAAGCCCACAACTTACTCCAGGACAGAATGAGTCGCAGCCTTTGGGTGGTACCGGTAGAGCAGGAGGCAACTGTTCACTCGAAAGACTTCACCACCCTTCTGGATATGTTCATAGAAAAACAGCAGATCCTCTGGAACCCCCTGGAACAGAAGCAGTTATTTCACACCAGTCAGTGACCACCATTCAGTTACACCTGAAGACATTTTGTTTTTCTGCCAAATGAATTTGGTTTAATATCATTTTTATTCACAGACACAACTTCTCTGTTGCCCAGAGAGGTTGTGGACTCCCCATCCCTGGAAGTGTCCAAGGCCAGGTTGGATGGGGCTTGGAGGAACCTGGGATAGTGGGAGGTGTCCCTGCCCATGGCAGAGGGTGGAACTGGATGATCTTTAAGATCCCTTCCAACCCAAACCATTCTATGAGATTATTTGTGTACATCTCAATGAACTTATCTAATGGGTCATGAAACAAATGCAGCTAAAGCTACTAAAAAACCAAGCAGTGCTAGTTAAAAATGAAGTGCAAGGACAGAGGTGGAAGAATCATCACCATCATCTCATTTTGGCAGGGATATCAAGCTTGGTACAGGTTAATCCAAAATGAAAGAAACCCAGCACTGAACAGTTTGTGCAGCCTGAAGTGCCACGTAACCAAATGGTTTATCCTGAAAGGGATCAGTGACTTCAGAAGAGTGTTTTTATGTTGTGCTAGAATTCCCCTTCTTTCTTTGGTTGTCATACAAATACTGGTCTCTCCCTAGGAAAGGTGACTCAGGCCCCACAATAACAAACCTCAATAAGAGCAGCCTCAGAATGAGGCAACATCTGAAAACAAAACTACTTGTTTTTTGAAACTTCCTTCCACGGTACATTCTTTCTAATGGGATTGAACACAATCCTGATGAAACACTGCACAAAAAAAGCTCCTACAATTGTGGATCTAGCAGGTTCTAGGAAATACTTGAGATTTCACAATCATTTGCAACATTTCCCACCTAAAAATCAGAAAACCTTCATGCCAGAGATAGTGTCAGAAGGGCAATCACATATGGCTCGTGGTATTCAATTACATTTTGTGGCATATGAAAGCATAAACCCACCTTTAAAGCCTTATACAGAAGGCAAAAAAGTAGCATCTATTTATATTTTGCAATGCTGCAACTTCTTGAAATGCATTTTTTCATGTTTAAATACAGATACTTCTTCCCTCCAACCCAGTGCTTAAAAGGTCACATGGTTTTATCAGACTAAAAAACCCTGATATATAAAACCATGTGGGTCAAACAAAATATTTCAGTGTAGAAACAATAAAAAGTTGAAAGATAACATGAATAAGTTGAGAAGGAAAGGAAGGGAAGGAGACTGAAATACATTTCTTTCTGTAGACAATATCACACACATGAATAACCAGAGCATACACCTCAACCTCAGCTTTAGGTAAATAAAAAAATTGAATCTTTCCCCCATTACCACAGCTTCTGAGTTTCTTCCATAATTAAGAAAATGAGATTCTCCAATTAAAGTGCTGGACACAAAATCCCTCTGTGGTTTCTTCTGGCCCTCCAGTTACAAGAGCAACACAGTTCAGGGAGTGTTTCTTATACCCACCAGGCTGAGCAGTTGAGGGGATGTGAGAGGGGAAGAGAAATGAGACAAGAAAAAACTCTGAACACTGGAAAACAACTCCAAAACACTCAGCTGAACATATGTATCTCGAGAGAAATCAGAATCAAATCCAGTTCTGGACTTTGCAGCTTCAGAGCTCACTCTGTGACTGATGTAAGACACCAAGTTGGGCCACACTCCCAGACTCTGAATGAAATGGGCTCTGCTCTGCTCACCCAGGGCAGCTCAGCTGGAGCTATTGTCTGTCTTTGCAGATGTTTGTCTGACTTCTGGTTTAAGAGCTGTGATGTAGAAGAAAACTTTTAGAGAACTTCATACAATTTTTGTGGACCTACCCTGAAAGCCACAAGAGAAATGTGGGGGAAGCTGGAGTAGCTGACAGCAACCACAGTCATCAAGAACACAAAAAATACAGCCCTTTCTATATTTTTCTTATTCTGGACTCCAATGGAAATACTGAGCCAGCAGCAAAGTTTAAACCTTTTTCTCTTTTCCAGTCACACACCAGACCGTGTCATCAGGGCACAAATTCTGCAGCACGTATCAGTTTGCTGCAGGAGTCATATTTTGAGTCAGATCTCTGATTACATCACACACATATCAGCAATTCCTTCTCTTTAGGATCAGCATTTATATTATTCAAGACAACCGTTAATATGAATATTTAAGAAGAGTTACTGCAAAAGTAAAAGTATCCTTCAAAACGCTGTTTGGTTCCAAGTGTTCTTTTCCTTCCCTTTAACTGGCAGAAATACTCTGGAATAAAGTGCACTCAGCCCTAGAAAGGAGCAGGTGCCTTGTACTGCTCAGCAGTGGCCTCTCACATTTCAAAGGAGCAGCACAGCCACGCATTTTTCAGGGGAGGAAAGATGTTGACTGTGTTATGGATCCTGCAGGGATGGGACTTCCTAAGGCTCTTGAGCGTGTAAGTTTGCTGCAACACAAGAGTTTCTTCCCAACTGAGATCTATTATTGGATCCAGACGGCACTTTAAACACCAGGAATCTTTGTCAAACAACACAACTTTCAAAGGAAAAGCTGTTTGACCACTAAAGAGATATTTTAACGTATTTTTTGAAAATTAATATCCATAGCTAAAACTATCAATTACCAACCCAGCATTTTAGCAATAGGCTACCACATCAATAGCCTTCAGCACCAATGGATACAATTAAATGGCACAGTTTACATGTTACTGGACTACACACAGAATTTTCCACATCACAGGCAACACCCAACTCTACATCCTCTGCTGCACTCAGGGATAAACTGATTCCAGCTCCCAGTGAAAAGCACAGCCTGCCCCTCTCTGCTGTAACAAAAATGCAGCAGCCACATGCAAAATCGTTGTTTACTTTATCACATTACTACTGAACAGGTGAAGGGTTTGTGTTTACCCAGGATTTTGGGCAGGTATCCCTTGCTGTGCTGATGGTTGGCTGTATGGATGAGGGGACTGATCTTTTATACACCATGGGATGTCAGGCAGAACTTAACGAGTTAAACTAACTCCTTGTTCAGGGATCAAACTAGATTATCAACAATCCTTCCCTTGTCACCTTCTCATCACTCACTGTTGTCACTCCTGGCAGATCATTGTCCATCAAACAGTGCTCCAGCCACCTCAACATATGTATTTTCCAAGGAGGTTCAAGCCTCCAACCACTGCAACCAGCAATTCTGGTTACAATTCTTGCAGCTTCACCATCAGTAATGGTGAGGAGCACCAGCAGGGATGAAGATCAGCAGTTTTTGGAGGACAATGCAAGAGTGACTCTCTGTGCAATGCTGTAACTGGTAACACTTGATAAGATCATGTTGTAGCCCTGGGATGACCAACAGTAACTTCTGCAGCACTTCAAGCTGACAGGAGTCCTTTTTTTTGATGTCTTGGACAGAACTCACCATTAGGCTGTACAGGCATAAACACAATATCAGAGCTGCCTTTTACTGCTAAACCCAATGTAGGAGAGTGATTCTGGGGCACAGTCAATCTGTCCCACCTTCCTCATCCACCTCTTTTCCCTCTATCCAGCTTCCTCTCAGTCTCCTTTGACATGGTGCCCTTCCCTGCCCACTTCCAGTGGAGATTTAGCCTGTGCAGAGCAGTCTGACCAGTGAAAGTGGGAGATTTCAAGAATACATGCATTTATAACAAACAGCGTGATGACAAACAAGACAAGAGAATTATATCTATCCACACAGGAAAAAAAGCCTTCAGATTTGGAAAAGCTCAGTCCTTCCTCTTGATCAGGGGCATCAAGGAAAACTGGGCTATAACTTGGTACTCCTTTTGTAAACCAGTCAGCAACATCAGGGTAACTGTTGGACAGAATATACCAAATTGCTTTAATTCCTCAAAGGAGCTTAAAATTGGTGAATGGAAAGAATTAAATAGCTGTTTTAATAGCTTCTCTACAGGATTATCCAATATATTCTTAAGTCTCTCTTGCTGCAGATCTGTCACTCCATTTTTTGGCTCCCATCCAAATCATGCCTTTACATCATTTTGCCTTGATTATAGGACCCAAAGCCTGTAACATTTACTTCATTGTTTGGAAATAACAGGTTTGAGGAAACTCCAAAAGGCTGCTTTCATCCAAATGCCTTGGCACAGAGAAATTCAGTTAAACAAAGATGATGGGGAAGTCAAATGGAAGGGAGCTGGTAAATTCTAAATGATATTTAATAACAGACCAGCAGAAAATGTAATTAGACATGGGGTATGGGGTGAATTTTCAAATAGCTTATAAAGTGTAATTAATCATAGGCTCCACCAATCTTCTTTCCTTTTTAGATCAAATATCTATTTCTGTTCAGCCTTAACTATATCAAGCCAAAATGAGTAGTGCCTGTGTTTTATCCAGATTTTCCCCCAGAGCACCTTGACTGGTTATTTGACAGACTGACAGTATTTTAATTCATGTTCCAAAAAAACCAAATTCCTACTTAGCCTTTTACCACTCAGGCATTATTGTAACCACTTGCCTTTCTGGAGGGCATGGCATTTGTGTGCTCTGGCAGAGAAAAATGGAAAACTGCATTAGTTAGTGCCTAACAGCCTCCAGAGTTACCTCAGAGCTTTACTGCGTGGCTGCAGTCTCCTGTGCACCCAGGGATATTTTGACACCTCCTCAATTCGTGTTTTTTCTGACCTTTTATCACAAAAATAGATCAAAACTGAGCTCCAGACACTTAGTTTGGAGCCACAGTTTGTATTCAGAAAGGCCAGTAGCTTATAATACTCTATTCCATCTGGGGCTCATTATGAATAATTTCCCCCATTTGCACTTCGAGATAAGTTCAGAACTTTAAGGCTGTCACTCCATTTTTAGTTCTCACACACTTAAAAAAGGAAAGTTAAATACAGAGGTGACACGAATTTGGGACCAAATTGTTGTAAAAGTCTAGAGAAAGAAACAAGTTTGGCATATAAGATGTCACTCTTTATCCAAACTTGCTGGATAACAGGAAGAGTATTTCCTCTTAGTTTCCTAAAAAAGTCACAAACGTGGTTCACATGACTCTCCTCCTAGCAGGGGATACTGTTTAAAATGTTACTTTATAGGCTTGTGGCCACTTTCATTGTGCTATCTCAGTCTCAGCACACCACCAAAGCTGGATAAAATTCTCTACTTCTCAGTACTCCTGCTTTAATTATCATTTATCAGAAGTTGCACCTCTACCATTTTAGTTAATCAGTGCATAAAACAAACCTGTCAGGTTCTTAGAGACCAGTTATGAAGATCTTATTTAGGATTCTACTTGGACATTGTCACAGTGATTACCTAAAAGGACTACATTCCCAACAACTGCAGATCCCATCCAGAAAGGACTTTATTTCTAAAAATATGTAAATATTTTTTAAAAATCTGTTTCATTTAGAGCTTGGATGGCTGGAGAGATAAGTACAAATCTACCTGGAATAAAAAAAGGATTGCCCCATAGCTTACCTATTTGTATTTTATCAGTCCACCCATAAACACCACATCACAATTTCTTCCATGGAAGAATTACCCTCCATTTGTTCTAAGCACTGAAATATGAAGAACAGGTGTTTGGATTTCATTTCAAATGAGAAATGCAGCTTTTTGGCACTGAAACAGTTTAGCAAACGGAGAAGGCTGAAACATGGGGATTTGTTGGCCTGTTGCTGTGTTTACTGACAGCAACAGGACACTTGCAGGTCTCACTGTTAAATACCAACTCAAAAATGGAGATGGGTGTGATCAGACTAATACAGAGTGTGGGTCAGGTCAGAACATCCACAGGGATGATTCTGAAGAGTCCTCAGTATAGTTTACAACAGCTCCACTGATAACACAGAGAAAAATCTTCCTTTGCCTCAAAGGGATTCTTTTCAAATGAAAATGAACTAGTTGGAGCAATGCTGAATACTTTGCAACACTAAATACTGAAAGATTTAGGACCTGATGTTGTGTCCTCTAAACCCACAGAGGACAAAGGTTTGACTTCATTGCTCGTGTCCTTTGCTTTGTTCAGCCCCTTGTTCGCAGGGTGTTTTTTGAAGCTCCTCTGTATCAACCAGAGTCTGAGCATGGACACGTTGGGCACTTCACAATAGGGACAAACAATATGTTTAAACTTATCACTAGTAATTTTTAAAACTAGGAGGACATACCACGCATTGTGGCTGCAAAATCATCAGGATTAAGATTGTCAGTGTATTATGGCTGAATAACCAGCGGCACAGTTCCTACACAATTACACAGGGAGAGCAAAATCGAAAAAACCCAACTCAAAAAAAAACAAAACAAAGGGAACCCCCCCCCCAAAACTAAAAGCAAAAAGCACAGAACAATAGTCTGTTTAACTTAACCTCTTGAACTTTATCATTAGGCTTGCTGTTCTATTGTTGCTCCTGCTTTAACTTGCTTGCTTTCTTTTTTGAGCTTACTAACAATGCTCAAGAAGTCAAACATTCCTCAGAGAGTGCAAATACAATGATAAGAAATAATAATAAAATAGAAATAAAGAGCATGGGTCAGTGAATGTAGATTGTATTGGGAGTCAGGCACCATTCCCAGCTCTTCCACTCACCCACCATGTAATTAAGGGCAAATCTTTTCACTGCTCTAAACAATTCTGTTCTCTGTCTGCTGTCTCCTTAAATTATAATTTTTTTGGCAGCCTAAAGAATAATATTTGTATATCCTCATACACATACACATGTGTGTATGTCTGTGTGTATGTATACACACTATATGGCACTGAAGGGCTTCATTTAGAGGCTATAAAAATAACAATAATAATCATAATGTGTTGTAGTTTAAATAATAAAATAGAAAATAGCCTTGGCAGATTTTTTTAGTGTACTAATAATGAAGGCTTCCCCCTCAAAAAAATTCAGAACCACCCATTCTAGTCCTAAAGTCTCACCAAAACCACTGGAAGCAAAACCTCTCAGGTCCAAACCACACAGAATGGATCCAAATGTATCTGAATTAGACCTATTTGCCAACATATTTCTGGTACTACCAATGGACACCCATGGATTTTATTCCATAAACATGCTGATGAGCTTAAAGCAACTGAACTGAATTTATGCAGGAAATTTCTGAAGACAAAGAACACCTAATTGTCAGGGGAGGAGCTTCTCAGGTAACAGTCATTTAATTTGTAATCTCTCAGTCCTGATGCTGAGGAGAAACTCCTTAACATCTTCCAAAGACAAGCACAAGAACTGAGATTGACAAGTGGATACGAGACAGGTGGATAAATGAGATTTAATGGTTGTAGTATTATGGCACATTGTGACCTCCCCTCCTCCCTTCTTTCTTCATCTCAGGGATATAAATCTTCCCCCTCGGGAGAATGTACTTCCATCTCTTTGTCATCCTGCCTGCACCTTTCTTCCCTCCCAATCTCCTTCACCAACCTGCCTTACCTTGCAGAAATAGTTCATAACAAAACTATGGGCTCATCTTTTTTTAGCTTTCAGATCTGCTGCATCTATTTCAGGGACTAAAGAGGAGCTTTTATGTCTGAATCCTTTAATTTTTCCAGGTATACTGACATATCTAACAGATGTGTTGGATTTAACTACAATCAATTCAATCACCAGAGTTATCCCCAAACAAATTTAGTTGGTTAATGACTGTTTTTAAAAAAACAGGTGTATGGTGTGACCCAGTTTATTTAGACCTCAGTTTTCATCTATACCCCTTCTCCTAGTGTTCCTTAATAACAGGTTTAGGGCTTCCAGAGGCTGTTAAACAAAGGGATGGTTCCTGGATATCATCCACATTACTCACCTTTCCCCCCTCATCAAATTTTCCCACGTGAAAAAAACACTCTCGAGAACAGAACCAGGTTGGCATGATCACAGTGGGTCCATGGGAGGTGAACACCTAGGAAAGAGGAAAAAAAACCCCAGTCAATTAATAGAATGTCTGTTGGGGAACAAAGCAGACCTAAATCTGGCAAATACTTGGCCTGTGCTTGATCTTCAGCAATTCCAAGCACTGAGAAATGCAGGTGTTTAAAATTCAGCATGTGCTTGGTGTTGAAAGTGCAGCATGAACCAGCATCTCTGAGCTGTCACAGCCCAGCAGGTGAGTCGAGTTCCTGCTTCACATTCCATAACTTCCTCTTCTATCATAAGTTGCAACACATGCAGAATACTTACAACTTTCCTTCAAATTTAGAGTTTTATACTGGAAATGGCACTTATATCAATAATGACAATGTTGACACTTAAGTGAATGAACTGAGAATAACTATGAAAAGTTAAAGTTCTTAAACTGAAGCCTGTAATTGTTGTGCACTGATTTTCCATTTTATATTCCTTGTACATATATGAAGTAGGAACTTTCACTGATTTTTTATTTCTGCCAAAGACACTTAAATCCTAATCAAGCTTGGACAAGTAAAATGCAATTTGTTTTAAAGATTACCTGAGCACTACGGATTTGCTATCCAGTGGTACCAACCTTAAAAGGTCATTGGAAAGGAAGAGCTTTAGGGACTGAAAAGGGAGTGATTATTAATTTCATCCTCTTGACTAGTGACAGCTGAGAACTCTACAAATGGGTCTTTGCAGCTTTAAACAAACTTGTTTTAAATAAAACTGTGAAATAAGCCAGTATCTGGATTACTGAAGGTAAACTGGTTCTTTCTTTTAGCACAAGATGAAGTATTCAGGCAAGGAAGAGACTGAACTTATCAAACACAACGTGCAAAGTAAAGGCAGGAGCCTGTTTCCAGAAACTACAGATCATACCGTGGTTTATGAAGGCAGAAGAAACCAACTTCGCAATTACTGTCAATCAAACACTAATGACAATGTAAGGTGATAATTTCATGGCATGTTACAATGGTAATATTAATATTCCTGTATGGCTGAAGTTCTTAAACCTCAGAGCACGAGTGTACATTTTGTCATGTGCACCTGAGCACCTACATTATAGAGGTGTTCTCGATTTCAGCCCGGGATGGAGCTCCTTGAACTCTTCTTATGTCTGCCAACTTCCACTTCCATTGAGAAACATGGATATAAAACCCAATACAGACACTTAGATCAATTTCTCCAAATTAATTAAACTAGAAATCTAATCAAAATTTAACAGGTGACCTACTCCCACTTTTCTCATGGCATGAACTATCTGCCCAAACCCAGACATCCACTTTAGGGGGAAACACACGGCATGATAACTCCAGGAACACACAAAGGGATCTGAGGGTGACTCATCTTCACACAGACACTTCAATTTTAGGCAGTCATATTTAGTCTGAACAATCCTATCACCTAATGGCTGTGGCTTAAAACATCAGCAGCTTGTCCATAACTGAAACCCTCGAGCTTCAGAGGGGCTAAACGTCAAAAACTCCCCCCAAAAGTCAGTGAGAGCTGAAAGAGTCAAAACAATCCCAGCAAACCAGAGCAGACATGAGTACTTAGTACATGGTTATTAGCTCCACATTAATTACAAGGGCAATTGAGTATGGCCTGAACCAAACAATGACCAAAGAGTAATCCCAAAAGAAAACAGCAGTAGGGAGAAAAGCCAGGCCAGAGTGCACTGCTTTGAATCTCACTTCTGAATGAAACAAAAACTTCAAAAGAAAGTCCTGAGTACATGGGTACATGTGAGATGTGTTTGGAGAGGCCACAATGCCATTTCCTCAGTGCAGCCAGGTCCACCAGAGAACAGAAATGCACTTCAGCCTAGAGATGGAGCTCAAGGTAATTAGCCATGGTCACGTGCAAAGAGCATCCATCCCAAATATCTTAGATAATCTGTTCCACTGACATGTATATTTTAGTGAAACTGAACAGAACAAATTTGAAACACTGAGGAAAAACATCCAAATGCCACTTATGTTAACAGAGATGATGACATGAGGATGATTTCATAGCAGACCATCACACACTGCATACACCACTGTCTTTCCTAAATCCAGCAGTGCTCTTTGGCTCATTGTCCACCTCAGAAAAGATACTACAGGAGAATCACACAGACAAAACTGTGACTGATGATGCCACACATGATTTCAAGAAAGTCTTTGACCCTGGGACAGCACACCAGCTAAGTGTCAATGAATTGGCAAATAAGCTTTTTCTGTATTAATATTTATAATGTAACATCAAACCTAACTTGAGGAAATTTAAATTTGCACTGCTGCCACAAAGGACAAATTCATGCTACTTTGTCCCTTGCTATATAACAATAATATTTGGGAAGCTGAAATTCCTTTGCTGTTGTTGTTAGCTAAGTATTCAGCTGGATCTCCTGATACAAATAACCACAAAATCAACAGTGCTGCCACGAAGGAGGATGTAGGAAAAGAGGGCACCAGGCACAGAGCAGCAGTCCACATAATCCATAAATAATCTTTAACCTGATAAAACTGTATGCTCAAAGTCTAGATTTACAGTACATCTCCATTAATTTCAGAGCTCTCCCACTCATCCTGCCTGTGGCTACTCAGCTCAGTCAGCCCAGTCACAGCACTGGCACTCACCTGACCCCATGAGAGATCAGAGCACTACATCAGTTAAAAAGCCATTATTTTCCTCTTTTTTCCAAGAGTTAGTTTTCTATAGCCTTAGTTCTCTGAATCAGTTCACTGTGGGGTCAGACCAGCAATACCACTGACACACTGGAGGGGGAAGGAACAAGCTTTGGAGAAGAAAACAAGACCTCCCTTTTCAGTCACTGCCCACGGTGAATCAGTCCAGCTGTAACATAAAACTGCATCCTCACACTGATGGGAGGGGAACTGGCCCAGGAAAAACACTAACTCCTAACAACTGCACTGAAACACTGCAGCATCTGCCAAACTTCTGAAAACCACCTTGGAGAGCTTTTGAAATTTTATCTTCAAGAGAGAGAAAAAAAAATAACCTCAACCTTCTGCACTTCGGAAATTCTATATTTCACCTTGGTTTAGTCAGATGGGAAAGTCTCCTCTGTATTTCTTTGTTGTCTACTCTTGTCATAAACTCTTGCCAAGGTGTTAAAAGCCAGTCAAGCTGCCTCACTCTGTGATAAAAATTGCAACTTCTCACTTTGTGATACTGAAACTCAAGATTTTATCCATAAATCTTTCAGATTGCATGGACTGGAACAAGAAAAACAAAGAGGACATGCTACTCTTAATTTGGAAATCCAACAAAAGCAGAATTTGAGTGACAGTGCCATGAACTGCTTTGTTTAGTTTTCTTGGAAATGTTCTACTCTGCTTAACAAATGTCCTGTGTCACCTTGGAACATGAGTGGGTTTTCAGTCCACCTTGAGTAGTTAACTCAGTATATTGGAGAGCAGCTTGGACCTGTGAACCTTTCACATATGGCTGGTTTGGAAGATTAATGCTTAATAATAGTTGTTATTAATTACAATACACTGTATGCTGTAAAGATTATCTAAATATTATCTAGTTCAATGAAACCAACTTATTAAAAAGTCACTACAGAGCTTGTAGAAAAAGGTATAAGTCTGTTCAGACTTAGAATTCCTGGAGAACAGTGTTGTCATACCCAAGCTGGAATCTGTGTCCTTCAGTCTCCAGGTGATGGAGACAGGCTGCTATTTCAGCATTCCATTTGTTAAATTATTTAGGACTTGATTATCATCTGGGTTTATTCCAAGGATCAAGTAGCAAGTGATTGGAACTGGTTTGTTCTTGTTAACTGTTTGGCTATTGAATTGCATCCAACTATTACACAGATTCCCTGAAAATAAATCTAAAGAATACAAAGAGTTGATAAAGTGACTTTCATTGTTGTGCTTCAAAGCTGTCAACAGCACATGGAACTCTGGTCCCCACTGATGCTCAGTGCAGATCATGGCAGCATTCAATGCAAGATTTCAGTTCCAATACAGAGAAAGGCATTTATGTGTTTATAGTAACTTCTCAAGGAAAGTTCTATTTCCTGAAGCAGCAAATCAAAATCTAAGAGCGATGTGCCAAAAGCATAAATGCAGATGGTGAAACAACCTTATCACATCAGATATCACCATGTCATGCAGAACACAGTGAGGAAACCAGGCAGTTCACAAAGAGATTTAATGAGGGCCCAGGCTGTTTTCCAGTGCAACAAGATAATTCCCTAACATTCACCACACATTTAATTCAAAATGTTCAAAATTATATCCACACAAGTCAAGAATTAGAAACAATCTCCTCTGTTGAGATAAATAAAGCTTTTCAATACCCAGGGTCACACATTAACACGTTACAAGATGAAAAAGGAAAGAAAGCAAATCCCATGCTGGAGGGCTGCAATGATTTTGTGAGCTGTAGGGAGACCATCACTCCTGACTCTGAAAAATTATGTGTTAAGATACCTGTGTGTTAATTCAGCAGTGAATGCCTCAGGACCTCATTAATAAAGTGTACCAGCTTTACATCCACAATCAGGTGCATGTTTTAGTGTGAGAGAAGAGGTACAGAAAATAAGAGAGGAAAAGACCTCCTCCTACTTCAAAGAAGCATTGGGCAAATAAGATTTTTCAAAAGAAAATAATAACAACAAGCTTTATTCAAGCTTTTATTAAGCTTTAAGGAACCTAACCTCCCAATGTGGTATGGATTAAATACAGTTGGTTTACATTGTACTGAACTGTTGTACCCTTTTGCCTGTACAAATAACTGCCTGTGTCACCTCATCACTGTGAGCTTCAGCAGCAGCTGAAAATCCCTCTCTAAAGAAACTGGGATCAGGCCCAGCAAAAAGTAGATTATAGGAATAAACCATGCCATGCCTCTCTGCCCTGAAAAGCTGATATATACACAGGAATTCTGGTGCAGGCCTGACCAAAAATCAGCATTACAATCCCAAACTCTACTTAGCAACACAACTAATCAAAAAGAGCACAAGAGTCCTGAGAATTGCTAATGCCAGTG